TTAATAAAAAATAAAAACACATTCTGATACAGATCAAGTGATAATAATGTATAAGATTTAATTCTAAGTAACTGGGAGATACAGAAGGAGGATAAGCAATAGGTGTTGGTATAGATGAAACAAAACTGTCCATGAATTGTTACACATTGAATATCACTGATGGTGCCTGGGGGGGGTTCACTATGCTCTTCTACTAGCATATTGAAATTTCCCATAATAAAAACTTAAAGGGAGATTAAAACAAAAACCCACAAAAACAAAAAACCCAGACAATAAGACCTTGTAAGAAGAAAGTGAAACTATTATTCCATTTAAAAATAAATAAATAATATAAAAATTAGCTGGGTGTGGTGGCAAATGCCTGTAATCCCAGCTATTCAGGAGGCTGATGCACAGGAATTGCCTGAACCCACGAGGCAGAAGTTACAGTGAGCCAAGATCATACCACTGCACTCCAGCCTGGGTGACAGAGCAGCAACTCGTCTTCAAAAAAAAAAAAGAAAACCACACACATATATACAAACACACACGTATACATATATATAAAAGAAAAATAATAATTGTATTTTTGCTATTCTTCCCTCAAAAATCTTCACTTATATCCATTGAGGATGTCAGATAACTAATATGAGACTAGGGAGACATGCTGCAAGGAAGGATCTTTCTATAACCAAGGTATCTTTGTGATGTGATTTTGGACAGAGATCAAATAACCACATTCAGCCTATTATAGTTGCCTAAATGCAGTCTCACACACACATGTACAAACAACAATGTAGCAGTGTGGGACACAGGGAGTGGACTGCCAGAGAAAAGTTGAGCTAACACTGATGACCAATGCTACACAGTAGTCATAAATTACATGTAGCTGATGATCACTTGAAACAGAGCTAGTCTGAACTGAAATGTGTTGTAAGCATGATATATACAGCCGATTCTGAAGACTTTATATTGGAAAAAATTTTAAGTGTATCGTTACTTTTTTTTGGAGACAGGGTCTTGCTCTGTCACCCAGGTTGGAGTACAGTGGTACGATCACAGCTCACTACAGCCTCAACTTTCCTGGCTCTGTGATTATCCCGCCTTAGGCTTCTGAGTAGCTTAGACTAACAGGAATATGCCACCAGACCCCAATTATTATTTATTTTGTAGATATGGGGTTTCACCATGTTGTCCAAGCTGGTCTTGAACTCCTGGGCTTCAGTGATCCTCCCAGCCTTGGCCTGTGCTGGGATTACAGTAATGACCCCCTATGCTGGCGTCATTACAATTTTTTATTGACTACATGTTGAAATAATAATGTTTTAGATGTAGTGGTTTAAAAAATTATTTCATCTGTTTCTCCTTACTTTTTAATGTAGCTTCTAGAAACTTTGAAATTATATAAGTGGCTCACATTTGTGGCATGCATTAGATTCCTATAGAAATACTGGTCTGGACTTAAATGAATTTCAAGCTTTCTATTATGCAAAAGAGAACACCTTGATAGTAGAGGAGTGACCAGAGGGAAACAGTGCACTGGGCTTTAACAATCTTTCCTACATAGTATCAAGCAGCAGCTGGATCAAAAAGGACCAAAAGCATTGATGGCAGCTGGCTCTCTATACCTGGCAAATCCCGTGACAAATCCCACCTGCTCTCAGCAGAGACCACTGGTTAAGTACATCTTCGTGGGTGCCTTGATCTGCTCCAATCATCCTGCCTCCACCTCCTGAGTAGCGACTACAGGTGCATGCCACTACACCTGGCTAATTTTTTTTTTTTAATAAATGGGATCTCACTATGTTGCCCAGGCTGATCTTGAACTCCTGGGCTCAAGAGATTCTCCCATCTCAGCCTCCCAAAGTACTAGGATTACAGGTATGAGCCACTGTGCTGGCAGCCAGCTTTTCAAAATCAGGAATACGAAGAGTTCTCACTATCACCTTTCTATTCAACCTCTAAACATAATCCTGGAAGTGTTAGCCAGTAGGGTAAGAGATCAAAAACATAAGACATTAAAGACAAAAAATTAGGAAAGATTTATTTATTCCTAGTAGGACTAAACATACATACTATACCCACCTAAAAATAAATATGACAAAGACCTACAGTGTCTTTGTGCTGAAAATTTAGAAAAGTTATCAAAAGACATTAAAAAACTATCCTAAAAATTGGAGAGGGAGGCCAGGTGGAGTGGCTTACATCTGTAATCCCAGCATAGTGAGACACTACAAAAAATTCAATTTTTAAATTTTATAGTCTCTACAGAAAATTTTTTTAAAAAGCCAAGTGTGGTGCTGTGTGCCTCTAGTGATAGCTACTCAGGAGGCTGAGACAGGAGGAGCACTTGAGCCCAGGAGTTCAAGGCTGCAGTGAGCTAGGATTGCACCACTGCATTCCAACCTGGGTGACAGAACAAAACCTGTCTCAAAAAAAAAAAAAAAGGATAGAATAGTGATTATCAACCGGAAGTTTCAATATCACAAAGTATCCATTCTTCCAAATTAATCTATAGACGATGTAATTCTAATCAAAATCCTTAAAGACTTTTTAAAATGTGAAAACTTTCGGAGACCAGCCTGGCTGACATGGTGAAACCCCATCTCTACCAAAAACACAAAAATTAGCTGGGCATAGTGGTACATGCCTATAATCCTAGCTACTCAGGAGGCTGAGATGGGAGAATCACTTGAACCCGGGAGGCAGAGGTTGCAGTGAGCTGTGATCATGGCCCTGCACTCCAGCCTAGGTGACAGAGCAAGACTCTGTCTCAAAAAAAAAGAAGGGATTTTCTATCAATGGTTCTGGGCCAACTATCCCCATAAAAAAAAGAAATAGATTCCTACCTCACATCATACACAAAAATTAATTCCAAGTAAATTTCAGACTTAAAGGTAACAAAAAAATTATATATATATTTGTTTTTCTTTTTCTTTTTCTTTTTTTTTTTTTGAGACAGGGTCTCACTCTGTTGCCCAGGCTGGAGTGCAGTAGCACAAACAGGGCTCACTGCAGCCTCAACCACCCAGGCTCAAGCAGTCATCCCACCTCATCTACCTGAGTAGCAGAGACTACAGGTGTGCACCACTATGCCTGGCTAATTTTTTTTAAATTTTTTGTAGAGACAAGTTCTCACTATATTGCCTAGACTGGTCTTGAACTCCTGGGTTCAAGTAAGCCTCCTGCCTCAGTCTCCCAAAGTGCTAGGATTACAGGTGTGAGCTACCACACCTGGTCAAAATTCTACAATATTAAAAAGAAAATGTAGCATAATATTTTTCTGGCTTTGGAATAATAAGGAAATTCTTAAACAAGACAAAAATAACCAGACGTGGTGGGTCATGCCTGTAGGCCCAGCACTTTGGGAGGCTGATGCGGGACAATGACTTGAGGCTAGGAGTTTGAGACCACCGTGGACAACATAGTGACACTCTGTCTCTGCAAAACAACAATGATAAAAATAAAAATTAGCTGGTAATGTGGCACATTCCTGTAGTCCCAGTTACTTGGGAGGCTGAGGCAGAAGGGTTGCTTGAGCCCAGGAGGTTGAAGCTACAGTGAGCCATGATCACACTACTGCATTCCAGCTTAGGTGACAGAGCAAGACTGTTACTAAAAGCAAACAAACAAAGACATAAAAATAAAGGACTGATAAATTCAATCATATTAAAATTACAAATTTCTTTCATCAAAAAGCAACATTAAAAAACTGAAAATGAGGTACTAGGATCTCTTGAGCCCAGGAGTCTAAGACCAGCCTGGGCAACATAGCAAGACCCTTATCTTACCAAAAAAAAGTAGGGCCAGGCGCAGTGGCTCACACCTATAATCCCAGCACTTTGGGAGGCTGAGGCAGGCGGATCACCTGAGGTCAGGATGAGTTCAAGACCAGCCAGACCAATATGGTGAAACCCAGTCTCTCTTAAAAAAAAAGTAAAAAGATACATACTGAAAGATAATCTGTAACCTATATAATCAACAAGGTAAGTATGTAGACAATACAAAGAACTCTTATAAATCAAAAAATACTAGATTTATCTTTTCTTTATTTTTTGAAACAGAGTCATGCTCTGTAACCAAGGCTGGAGTGCAGTGGCACAATCTTGGCTCACTGCAAACTCCGCCTCCCAGGTTCAGCCCCACTGAGGAGCTGGAACTACAGGCATGTGCACCATGCCTGGTTAATTTTTGTACTTCTAGTAGAGACAAGGTTTCACTATGCTGGCCAGGCAAATTCCTGATCCCAAGTGATCTGTCCGCCTCAGCCTCCCAAAGTGTTGGGATTACAGGCATGAGCCACCATGTCCAGCCACAACCCAGTTTTTAAAAGGTCAAATGCTACGACAGACATTTTCAGAAAAAAAAAATTGTATAGTTACTAAACATTTGAAATGATGCTCAATGTCATTACTAATCAGGAAATTACAAATAAAGACCCATTGAAATACAGGTTGAGTATCCCTAATCTAATAATCTGAAATCCAAAATGCTCCAAAATCTGGAATTTTGTGAGTCTCAACATGATGCTCAAAGGTCATGCTCTCTGGAGCATTTCGGATTTCAGATTTTCAGACTACAGGCGCTAACCAGTAAAAATAATGCAAGTAATCCAAAACCTGAAAAAAAATCAAAATCTGAAACCTTTCTGACCCTAAGCATCTTTAGCAGCATCCCTGGTCTCTAAAAAAAAAAAAAGAAAGAAAAGAAAAAAAATTGCAAAGGTCTGATAATGCCACATGTTGAGATAACACAATGGCAAAGGTCTGATAATAACCACATGGAGAAAATGCAGCTCAGTAGTAATTCTTACATATTGCTAGTAAGAAGTAACTACTTACGAAAACAATTTAGCATTGTCTCATAAAGACTAACACTGCATATCTTATAAGCAGCTAGACTACTGTGCTAGGTTTATACCCAAAAGAAACTTTTGATTAAGATAATCAATATCTATGTGTGCTAAAAGACATGATTATTCATAAAACAATGCTCACAGAAGCAAGAAACTGGAAACAATCTATTTATAGAATCTGTTTAATCACACAAGTCACATATGGCAATTTAAAAGAATGAGCTATAGCTATATGCAATAACATGACAATATTAGCAAAATTATGCCTGAAAAGAATCCTGTGATTCTGGGGATTTTTGTTTTGCTGTGCTGTTTGAGACAGGTCTTGCTCTGTTGCCTAGGGTGGACTATAACGGCAGTATCATAGCTTGCTGTAACCTCGAACTCCTGGATTTCAAGTGGTCCTCTCGCCTTTGCCTCCCAAATAGCTAGGACTACAAGTGTGCACCACTATGCCTGGCTTTTATTTTTTTTTTTTTGCCTCATCTCATCAGTGTTTATATCATTAAAAAAATAAAACAGCCCAGTGCAGTGGTTTTCTTTTTTTTTGCGAGTCTTACTCTGTTGCCCAGGCTGGAGTGCAATGGCGCAATCTCAGCTCACTGCAACCTCAGCTCACTGCTGCAACCTCCACCTCCTGGGTTCAAGCGATTCTCCTGCCTTGGCCTCCCAAGTGCTGGGATTACAGGTGTCTACCACCATGCCTGGCTAATTTTTTGTATTTTAGTAGAGACGAGGTTTCACCATGTTAGCCAGGATCATCTTGATCTCCTCACCTCAGGTGATCCGCCTGCCTCAGCCTCCCAAAGTGCTGGGATTACAGGCACCAGCTACCGCACCTGGACTGTTTTGTTTTTTAATGATATAAATACCCAGGAACACAACACACAATCCAAGAAGTAGCAGATTGGCAGAAGTTACCATCAAACTATGAAATCCTCCTCAAACCATCCCTGTGCCTCATGCACAGCCACTCGTTGAACTAAATGTCGCGTTTTTTTTGCTCTTGCTTTTTCCCCTTTTTTGTGCATGTTCTTCCTTTTAAAAGTATAGCTATATATATACAGAAACAAAAATTCATTCTGTTTTTCAGTGTCATTAAACACAGAATCTGGGCCCGGCACAGTGGCTCATGCCAAGGTGAGTGGATCACCTAAGGTCAGGAGTTTAAGATCAGCCTGGCCAACATCGTGAAACCCCATAGTGGGTAACCCCCTACATGGGCAACGCGGAAGGAGTGCTGTGCGAACCCCAGGCACAATTAGTACCTGAAGAATACCTTAGTTTATAGTGTTATTACTCAGCTATTTCCTTTATGTAATCCTTCATATATAATCATATATTAGTTTATAGAATTAGTGCCTGAAGTATAACTTACTGCTTACATATTTCTAGCTTATATAATCATACTTAATACTTATATCTAACATACTTAGTTCCATATACTCTTTCTATACTAATCATACAGGTATTGTAGTCAGAGCTGTTCCAACACATTTAGTGCTGTCATTTATATAATCCTTCTATATAACCATATAGTAGTTTGTAGTAGGAGGAATGCCTAGAGCAGTCACAAAGCGGAAGCAGTACATGGGAAAATAACCAGACCAGGACAAGAACCAAAGACCCAGGCGGTGGCGTCCCTGCCTGAAAGGGCATATGCTGTATGCCAGGCTTGGAGCAAGAGCCTCTCTTCCTGAAAAAGGAATTGTAGTACCTTGCATCCAGTTCCTGTGGAAAGTAGGCCTCAGGCCTGAGATCCTGCAAAAAACAGAGGAAGAACCCCACTGGTGTGACCAGTCATGGCGGCTGTAAACCCTGTCAAGTCTTTTCTCGATTCTGTGCCAGCTGAAATCATCCTCCCATAAATATCTTAGAGAAGAGCACAAGTCTGTCAGCTCCCACTGCATTGGCTTACAGTATCTTTCTATTAGAAATCCTTTGAAGTCTCCACCCCCAGGTAAGAAGTGTTGCGCATGACACCTGCTGCACACAGCCTACATCTTTGCTTCGGTGACCTAGTGGGGGTGGACCCCTTTTCTGTACACGACCCTCTACTACTGTACACAGCACGGCCCCCTACTGCGCACAGCCCACCTCTCTGCCCAGGTGACATAATGGGGTGGCCTCCTCACTTGTTACTCACATGATTATGTATGCCCTATCACTAAGCCTATAGATGATGACCTCACTTAGGACCCTTACCCCTGCTTGTATCTAATAAATACAGATGCTTCTGGACGTTCGGGGCCTTGCTTGTCTCCACTCATAGGTGGTGTGGCCCCGCCGAGTCCAGCTGCTTTTCTCCAGTTTTTCAGTGTCCTGTCTCTTTAGTTCTTGGATCTTGCACCTCAGCACAGCATTAGGGACACCCCACGACCCTGTGGGGCTGACAGCCCTACAGGGCATGGTGTCACATGCCTGTAGTCCTGGTTACTCAGGAGGCTGAGGCAAGAGGACCGCTTAATCTGGGAGGCAGAGGTTGCAGTAAGCCAAGATCATGGTCACTGCACTCCAGTGTGGGAGACAGAGTGAGACTCTGTCTCTCTCAAAAAAAAAGAGTCATAAGATTTTTCACTTGAAGGCTGGAATTCAAGACAGCCTGGGCAACATGGCAAGACACTGTCTCTACAAAATTAAAAAATTAGCCAGCACACACCTAGAGTAAACTCATTTTTGATAAAAGTGCCAATAACATACACTGGGGAAAAGATAGTCTCCTGGGCAGGCATGGTGGCTCACACCTGTAATCCCAACACTTTGGGAGGCCAAGGCAGGAGGATCACTTCAAGTCAGGACTTCAAGAGCACCCTGGCCAACATGGTGAAACCTCATCTCTACTAAATATATAAAACTAGCCGGGCATGGTGGCAAGTACCTGTAATCCCACTATTCAGGAGGCTGAGGCAGGAGAATTGCTTGAACCCAGGAAGTGGAGGTTGCAGTGAGCCAACACCACAGTGCTACACTCCAGCCTGGACGATAGAGCAAGACTCTGTCTCAAAAAAAGAAAGAAAGAAAAGATAGTAGCTTCAATAAATGATGGTGGGAAAACTGGCTATCCATTATGCAGAAAAATGAAACTATACCCCTACTGTACAAAACCAAATCAAAGGATTAAATCTAAGACCTCAAATTATGAAACTACTATAAGAAAACAGTGGGGAAAATCTCCAAGATACTGGTCTGGGCAAAAATTTCTCGAGCACAAGCCTCACAAGCCCAGGCAACAAAGCAAAAATGGCCAAATGGGATCACATGACATTAAAAAGCTTCTGCAGAGCTAAAGAAACTACAAAGTGAAGAGACAACTAATATTTGCAAACTACCCATCTGCCCAGGGATTAATAACCAGAATATATAAGGAGCTCAAACAACTCTACATGACAAAGTCTAATAATCCTATTTAAAAATGGGCAGAAGATTTGAATAGGCATTTCTCAAAAGACCCCGAATGGCAAACAGGCATATATGAAAACGGGCTCACCATCACTATCATCAGAGAAATGCAAATCAAAACTACAATCAGATCTCATCTCACCCCAGTCAGAATGGCTTTTATCCAAAAGACAGGCAATAACAATGCTGGCAAGGATGTGAAGAAAAGGGAACCCTTATACACTGTTGGTGGGAATGTAAATTAGTAAAACACTATGGAGAACAGTTTGGAGGTTGCTCAAAAAACTAAAAGTAGAGCTACCATACCATCCAGCAATCCAACCGCTGGGTATATACCCAAAAGAAAGAAAATCAGTACATTAGGCCGGGCGCGGTGGCTCAAGCCTGTAATCCCAGCACTTTGTGAGGCCGAGGCGGGTGGATCACGAGGTCAAGATATCGAGACCATCCTGGTCAACATGGTGAAACCCCGTCTCTACTAAAGATACAAAAAATTAGCTGGGCATGGTGGCGTGTGCCCGTAATCCCAGCTACTCAGGAGGGTGAGGCAGGAGAATTGCCTGAACCCAGGAGACGGAGGTTGTGGTGAGCCGAGATCGCACCATCCAGCCTGGGTAACAAGAGCAAAACTCTGTCTCAAAAAAAAAAAAAAAAAAAAAAAAAGAAAATCAATACATTCAAGAGGTATCTGCACTACATGTTTGTTGCAGTACTGTTCACAGTAGCTAAGATTTGAAAGCAACCTAAGTGTCCATCAACAGATGAATGGGTAAAGAAAATGTGGGACATATACACAATGGAGTACTATTTAGCCATAAAAAAGAATGAGACCCAGTCATCTGCAACAACATGAATAGAATTGGAGATTACAGTAAGTGAAATAAGCTAGGCACAGAAAGACAAACATCACCTGTTCTCACTTATTTGTGAGATCTAAAAATCAAATCATTAAACTCACGTACGAAGAGAATAGAAAGATGGCTACCAGAGGCTGGGAAGGTTAGTAGAGGGCTAGGGAGGAGGTGGGGATGGTTAATGGGTACAAACAAAAGTAGAAAGAATGACTGGGCATGGTGACTCATGCCTGCAATCCTAGCACTTTGGGAAGCCGAGGAGAGTGGATCACGAGGTCAGAAGTTCAAGACCAGCCTGGCCAACATGGTGAAACCCCATATCTACTAAAGATACAAAAAATTAGTGGGGCATGGTTGTGCACACCTGTAATCTCAGCTACTCGGGAGGCTGAGGCAGGAGAGTCCCTTGAACCCAGGAGGCAGAGATTGCAGTGAGCCAAGATTGTAGCATTGCACTCCAGCCTGGGCAACAGGGCTAGACTCTGTCTCAAAAAAAAAAAATAAGACCTACTATTTGATAGCACAACAGGGTGATTATAGTCAATTATAACTTAATTGTACATTTTAAAATAATTTAGAGTGTAATTGGATTGTTTATAACACAAAAGATAAATGCTTGAGGGGATGCATAAGAAAAAAATAAAATTCATTCTAAAAATAAAACATTAGCCAGGCATGGTGGCTCATGCCTGTGGTCCCAGCTATCCAGGGGGCTAAGGTAAGAGGATCGCTCAAGCCCAGGCGGTCAAGGCTGCAGTGAGCCATGTTCGTGCCACTGCACTTCAGCCTGGGTGACAGAGCGAGACCCTGCCTCAAAAAAAAAAAAAAAAATCCAAAGACAAAATAAAATAGACCAATAATGACAGTATGTGGTGAATCATGAGTTACAGTAATTCCATGTACCTGAGTTCCACTATGCCACTCCCTAAACACACACACACACACACACACACACACACACAGCTGAAAACAGCACACAAGGCTGTCCCTTCCCTTTTCCCCACACCCTACCTGTGTCCGAGCATTGAGCAGCTGCTGGAAGCTCTCGACCTCTTTGCTGTCATCTGCGGCCCGCTCCTAAGGGCAGACAAAGGGAACGGTCAAATTTGGAAAAAGCAGTTCTTCCCTTCAGGATGTCCCCTTCATTCTACCCTTACTGTACTACACCAGACACTGTGCCAGACTCCAAGAGTAAAACACTGAACAAGACAGGTATCATCTCTGCCCTCACAGAGCTAACAGAGCAGTGGGAGAAACCAAACTTTCTGGGTAGGAAGACAAGGAAGAGGAGCATGTATTACCATCAGCACACCCAGCATCATGTCATAGTTGTTGATCAGAAACACAAGCTGCTCCTTCCTTGAGGAGAACTCAGCTGCCACTCGGAGGACAAAATTCTCCACCTCCACCTGAAAAAGCAGAGAGGAGAGGAAGAGGTGACACCAGAAAGCAAGGTCTTTCTGGCCCCCATCTTGCCCCTCGTCAGGCTCTACCCACTGACAACAGCCCTGATGCTGGGAAGTCTCTCCGGTCCAACCCTCACCTGTAACTGTCCCAGCAATTGCATGGTCCTTTCATTGGGAATTGTCTGGTTGATGCTGACAAGAGCAGAGGAGAACTCTGCATAGCGGCGCGTGATCTAGGAGAAAGTGGGAAGGAAAATCACACCCACCTCCTGACCCAACCAACACAACCTCCTGACTCCTTTGGCCAGCCCACCTCCATGTGATTTAACTCTGCCTCTAGTCCTTCCTACCCACAGTGCACCACCAACCATGAGTTTTACCACCCTCCCAGCATGCCTACTCATAACATGCAGTGATTTTGACACAACTGTGACCTTGGCCAACCCACACAATGAAACTTAGAGCCCTGCCTTTCAAGAACCCTTTGTTACCCTTGCCCTCCCTCACATAGTGGGGCCGAGTATCCAACCCTCCAAGGCGCTGAGGGTCAGTGCTTCGGACGCTCTGGACATTCATCTCCAGGATCATCTCAAACCGTGGCCATAGCAAGGCAAGCACCTGTTCCCAGTACCTGTGGACTTAATCAGAATCAGAGGTCAGCTGGCAAAGAATGTGGGAGAGGGATGCAAGGGAGTGGGGCATCATTCAATTCAGTGGTCAACAGTCAGTTGTAGAGGGCGGTGGTTGGAGAAATGTGAGTCAAAAGGCAGCAGTACTGCCTCCAGAGCAAATGAACAGGAATAAAGGTTGATGATACCAAGTCAGTAGGACTCTAAGGTCAGGGCAGAGCCATTGTAAGGCCAAGAGAGTTAATGGCCTGTTGGGCATCAAGGACCAGAATTCAGTGACCTGTCCAGGGCAGGAACATCCCTCTTTGCTGCAATGTTGCGGAACCGGAGAACAATGTGGATACAGAGAAACACAGCAATGGCATCATAGCAGTCAGTGAGATAGGACTCCAGGTGTTTCTGTGATTGGGAATAAGCAGAGGTTTAAAAGAGAATGTTAGTTTGTTGTCCTTAGTGGCTGTGTGAACAAACACATGTGTTTCATTGGGGATGATGCACTGGCGAGAGAGAAGGGAGAGACCTAAAAGGGAAAAATGCCCCCTGCTTTCCTGTCCACTGCCACCCAGGTGGTCCTGCTGCCTTGCCCACCAGAATCTGTTTTTGGCTTTTTTTTTTAGACAGAGTTTTGCTCTTGTCGCCCAAGCTGGAATGCAATGGCACAAACTCAGCTCACTGCAACCTCCACCTGCCTCCCAGGTTCAAGCAATTCTCTGGCCTCAGCCTCCTGAGTAGCTGGAATTATAGGTGCCCACCACCACACCTGACTAATTTTTGTATTTTTAGTAGAGAGGATTTATCCATGTTGGCCAGGCTGGTCTCGAACTCCTGACCTCAAGCAATCTTCCTGCCTTCATCTCCCAAAATGCTGGGATTACAGGCATAAGGCACTGCACCCAGCCCCACCAGGATCTATGATTACAAGTCTATCATAGCAGAGTTCAGGACTGAGATTGGGTCCGGGGCTTGAGCACCAAGATTTAGGGGTCCCTCAATTCTCACTAGGGGTAATCTCAGGGACCCTAAGCTCTGAGGATTTCATGAGGAGTAACATCATAACAAGTCTAAGTAACAAGGCTTAGACCTTTTGTTTTTGTTTTTTTGAGACAGGCCTCACTGTCTCCCAGGCTGGAGGGCAGAGCTTACTGCAGCCTTGACCTCCTGGGGTCAAGCAATCCCTCCACCTCAGCATCTCCAGTAGCTGGGACCAGAGGCACACACCAACACACAGTCAGATAATTTTTTATTTTTTGTAGAGATGAGGTTGTTGCCGAGGCTGGTCTCAAACTCCTGAGTTCAGGCAATCCAACTGCCTCGAACTCCCAAAGTGCCGGGATTTTGGGCATGAGCTACCAGGCCCAGCCAAGGCTTAGACATTTTAGAATGAGGTGATCCTGATTTCAGTTCTACCAGTCATGACCCCACTATGCTGCTGATGAAGACTGGGACAAAGGTATTGAACAGTACCTGAAATAGGAATCTTACCAGGGTCATGCTGAGTGTACGGCCCATGACAGCATGGAACAGGTCGTGTGCAGCCGGGCCAGACACAACAAAAAATTCACAGATGAAAAGATATTCACGGCAGGAATTGTCTAGGAGGGCATAGTGCTGGCTGCGGAAGAGAGCCTCAAATGGATACTAGGAGAGGAGAAGTAAAGAAAAACAGAAGGGATGGACCCCAACACTGACTTCCCATGGATATGGCTGGAAAATCAGTAAACCTGGGTAATAAGAGCCGAGCAGACCCTTCACATCCATCTAGGTCCGGGCTGTCAGAGTATCCGGAATGGGCACTGAAAAGCTCAGGGAACACAGGGGTAAAAGAAGGGCCTATACCCTCTTGCTGTCGCTACTCCTGCATCCACCTCAACACCTGCCTCTGACCATCATTCCCCTCAGCCAGTCTCCCCCCTCTACATGCCCTTAAGTCAATGGTTCCCAGCTCTTTTCACATTACAGTAGGCTGGAGTGATTGGAGAAGCCCACTCTCAAGTCTAGGGGGATTGAGACAGGGACTGCAGATTGGGAAGCTTTGCCCTGAGGGGTGGCCTTTCCTCCCCTCATGCTCAGAGTCTCCTTCATGACTGAAGCTTGTTCCTCCTCATACCCTCTGCTCTCCACGCTGGGCTGTGTGAGGCACCAGGATGGGGGCCTCAAGTTCAGTCGGGGAGATGACAGAGCCACGGGTTCCCAGGGTGAAAATGGTGTTCCTGCTGCGGAGCGATGGCTTTGAGAAGAACCGTAAGATGGGTCAGAGTCAGGGAAAACAATAAGACCATAACTGGGCCCAAAGACTATCTGCAGGGACCCCAGCCAGCCTTCTTTTCCAGTACTGGGGCCCCACTTCACCTGACATCTGTGAATGGGCTTCAGGGGATCTCTCCCTCCTCTGCAATCATATGCAAAACTATGTAACAAAATGATGTGTACATCTTTCTAGGAAAAGAGGCTATAGCTTTCATCACTTTCCAAAAGGTTTCAGTCCCATAGGAAAAGGTAAGGAGCAGTGCCTTGGTGGCTGGAGCCAAAAGTCCTCCCACTCTCAAGGCCTGGCATGAGGGTTCCCCAGTACTAGGATATCTTTCTTTGCCGTATCTTCCACACCCATCAGATCATCTTTCTCAGCAACTTCCTCATACTAAGAAAACAGAAAAGAGAACTGATAACCAACTCTTTCCATAGCACAGTAAAATATTCCTTGCCCAGAGATGTCTCCTCCTCCCAGTCCATGTGCCCAGAAATGCCTCTCCCTCCTGGCCTTACCTGCACCTTCATGAGCCGCCCCAGGTAAGAGCGGTAGTAAGACAGGTAGATCTTGCTCAGCGTCTCCACGTATTCATCCCTGATCTCCTTTGCTGTTGCTCGTTCATTGCCCAGCAGAAACTGATAGAAGAACCTAGAAGCGTCAAGAACATGTCAGTCTACCTATCTGCCCAAGAAACCAGATGCCCACACTAGGCTGCTCAAAAGCTCAAAGGCCATCCATGCACTTCCCCGGGGTGGTGACCTGTACTTCAGCAGGGCTGTCTGGGGGATCTGATAGTTGGTCATTGGTTTCCTGAAGGAATAAATCTTCTGGAGGATAAACTCTCGGATCTTCGCCACTGCCTAGATGTGGGGAACCAAACACAGGGCATGAAGCTGCAACCCTTTTATTGTATGAGAGGAATTGGGGGAAGCAACAAATAGTAAACATAGAGAGAAGGGTGGTGAATACCTCTTTGGTATTTAAGATTTTCAGGGAAACCCAGGGAGGCAAGAATGGGGCTGCCCGGAAAAGGCAGGGTGAAGTTCTTGGAGACAGGCTACAGTGAGCCCTGCCAAGGAGATCCATACTGAAGGTCTTGGGAAGGCTGCTTCTAGTAGCCTCCAGGGTATCCATCCCTACTTCCCACCTTGACCCGGAGCCGATCAAGCACGCCTCTGACATCTGCGCAGGCCGCCGTGCCTCTAGCTTCCTGCTCCCTGACTGCGGCTGCCTTGGCATCCAGCTCCTGTAGCTGTTCCAAGAACCTGGGTTCTGTCACTGGAGCCTCTAGAATTGCCCTGGGGAGCAGGAAGGGGTGGGATGAGTTATAAGGGAGACCCAGACATCCCTAAACCAGACCTAGACCACATTCCTTACATCCAGCCTCTGTCATGCTACCACCCTGCAATGTACTATATATCAGGACACATGTACAAAGTTTTCTATTCCTGGACTTCCCCACTACACACCTGATCCTGCATCATTCTTAATCTTAATCTTTGATGCCTAAAGCATGCCTAAAGAAATGGTTGTTAATCCGGCTACTAATTTCTAAAAATCACTTAACCGGGAGCTAGGAGACCCATGCGGTAAAGAGGGTAGGTCACCCCAGCCCATTCATCTACTATGGACGTTATGACCCTTCAAACTGGTAACTCACATGACCAGAGCAGAAGGCACCACCAGACCATCAACAAGTTCCCCAAGTTTCCCTCGAACTGCCTGGCGATTTCGAAGTCGAATATTCATGGCTCCTGACTGTTCCTGCAGTGTCCGAATCTCAGAGCTGATGGAGCTGAGGTCACTCTGAAAAGCTCCCAACATCTGCTCCATTCGCTGTAGGAAGGGTAGAAGATGTTGCTGGAGTGCTCTAGAGCTGGCAGGGGATAAGTGGGCCACCAAGGCCTCTTGGTGAAGTCCTCAGTATTTATCAGTCCATGAGGGTGGCAGATGATAAAACCCATAGACTGCCATGAAATAACATTAAATATCGCAGTAATAACAAAAAAGGCTCCTGAGGTCATCTTGAAAATGATCCTAACCTGTCCCATCTTGAGGATGATGACCTAAAAATGGCATGAGAGTCCATGATCTAGTTCAGAGTAGCTATTACAGGTCACAGGTCATAATTACTAACCTCCAGGACAGCATCACAGGCTGTGATCTGGTTGTGCAGAGATGCTATATTCTCACTCTCTTGAATATCTGACCCACAAAAAGTCAAGGGGCCTCATGGTGAAGATGGAAATCCTCAGATTTGTAGAACCTCTCCAATTTCTCTCTGAAGGGACAGAAACCTCAGAGATGTGGACCCCACACACCACAAAATCCCCAGGGTAATAGCACTGCCCCTTCCCTCTGCTGGAGGATACAATCCCGAATGGATTTCTGTTCAATCTGCTGTAGCTCCAGCTCAACTTGCTTTGAATAGTGACGAAGATCTACACCCTGGGAGAACATAAAGATGACAGGTCAGGAGGAAGTCTCAGTAAAGGGACACTGTAACAGAATCAGTGAAGGACTAAAGGGTCAGACACCAGGCTAATATAACAAAAGCAAGAGACTTGTTTTTCCTTTTGGGGAGAGTAGATAGAAGGGCAGATTAGTATAGGGGAAAGCCTCACCGTTTTAAGAGCTTCCTTTACTAACTCATCCTCCAGATTTGCCTGAATGTGAACTGGAAATAGAAGTTTATCATAAGGGTCCAGCTCCACACATTGGAGCTGGACCACAATTCCCTCTCCCCACACTGAGTATCTGCACACCAATCCCTACCTTATTCCTTCTAGCCCATATGCCTCTCAGATTACAGCTACTGCACCCACCCATGCCATCACTTACCATCCACTTCATCCAGGATGTACTCATCAGAAGTAATATCCAACTCCCCAAGTTGCAGTGGTTCCTGGAGCCCAGGACCACTGGCCTAGAAAGGGATAGGTTAATGGGAGTAGGGAATGGGGAAAGACAGAAGAAAATATATAATTAAATACCCGAAGTCCTTCAAGTGATATAGAGGTGCTTTTACTGGGAGCACAGGTACTGCTTTGAAAAATTCTAAGTCTCCCACTGTACCCACTCTCCTATTTTGTGCTGTTGGGTAAGGAATATGACAAGGAGTTAGATGATTCAGTAAGATAGTGGAGGTAGCCCAGCATGGTGGTGGGCTCCTTGTAGTCCCAACTACTTAGAAGCTGAGACGCGAAGATTGAGACCAGGAGTTCAAGGTCAACCACCTGGGTAACACAGGGAGTCCCGTCTCAAAAAACAAAACAAAACTAATGACAAGACAGTGGAGATGACTAAATGAGGAAAACTAGAAATTGCAGAGAATAGAGCAGAACTTGCACTTAAATTTAGGACCCTCAGACTCCTGTTATCTCAGACCTCTGGGGAACCCCAGACTTTCTAGAAATGTCAAAACACAGTGTTTACCTGCGTGCCAGGTGCCATCTTACACATACTCATTTATCTGAGTCTAACAATGATGTATAAAATAGGTTCTCTCTTCCTCACCTTATAGGTGTGGGAAATGATGCCACAGAGAAGCCAATTAACTTGCCCAAGGGCACACAGCGTGTTAAGTGGCAGAAATGGAATCAGAACCCAGGCAGTCTGGCTCCAGAGGCCATGTTCTTAACCTTTATACTATATTGTTTCTTGACTCTACCCCAAAATATGGAGAGAAGTTGAAACTGTGCCCCAGGACATGAGTTGCAGCCACTAGGGACCTGCTCAGGGTTGGGTCTGATCAGCGGGAAGGGTAAGAGGAGCCAAACAGGTAACATCACGCGTAGCAGCCAAGTTCCCACCCGTGCCTAAACCCAGCCCAGGCCTTTAGGAGGAGAAACAGCTCCGCGCTCTCACCAGCGGGCCCTCTTCCTCCTCCATATCTGAGGTTCCAGCCCGCAATACCAGTTCCCGGGCGGCAGCAGCCATGGTCGCAGCGGCGGCCATTCCCCGCAGCCTCACTTCCGGCCACTGTCAGTCCCGGCAAGTCCGTTCCCTAGAGTGGAGTTCAAGTCCCAGACAGCCTTCCTCAGAGCGAATTTCCCAGATGTTTGAGTTAAATTGTCTGACTCCAGGGGTTCCTTTTCAGCTCTAATCACTTCACCCAACTGCAAATGGAAACATGGAAGTCTAAAGCACAAACTAGCTCCGGAACCTTCGCTGCTCTCATGCCCATGAACTTTGCGAACTGTAAAGAAAGGCTGTACCGGAAGTTATGGTACCTAAGTCATACTCTCCAGAGTCCAGGCAGCTCGCGCTGAAAGTTTCCGGAAGCACGTCTCTTATATAGCTCCGCCTCTTCCTCCTATAAGCTATATAAGAACATTGCGTCACTTCCGTTCTCTCTTCCACAGGAGGCTTACACGCCGCCGCTTGTTCTGCCGCCATGGTAAGACTGGAAGCTGTGCCGTGATCCAGCGACATCGGAACTCGGGCAAGGGAAGCCGGCTGTCAGGGTTCTAGAAACGCTCTGTCCTGACGGCCTGCAACCTTCTGTATGGAGCCTTGAATCGCGCCCCTGGAAAGGGACACCAAAGATTTCCAATTCCGGGTAGCGGGCCCAAGGAAGGGTCACTGCTTGGGCACACGGAAGCTGCCAAAGGCTTGGGCGTATTATAGGGACTCTGGCTTCTGCCACGCAGAGTGCACTTTTGGAAATGGGCAGGAGTCCTGCCTCCTCTCTCCAGAGGTTTTTTTTCCCCACGCTTGAATGCTTCATGTTCCTACTCTCTGCAGGACTTGAGGAGTTTGCTGTGATGTGAAAACCTAAGGGATGGGGGTCGGGTGTCTTTGACCACTTGTGTGACAGGTTTTTAACTTTTCTTTATAAAGGTCGTTTGCCTTAGCAACCTTACTGTTTGATAGTAGTTTACTGTGTCTGATATCTCCCCATACTTTTTCAATCAGTCTCTAGTGATCCCTGAAAAGTTCCAGCATATTTTGCGAGTACTCAACACCAACATCGATGGGCGGCGGAAAATAGCCTTTGCCATCACTGCCATTAAGGTAAGTGAAGTAGGATAAGGAATAGGGAATGTAAATGAGAATTAGGTTGTGAAGATATAAGCAAAAATAAAGGAACGTTGGGGAAACTTGAGTCTCATCCAGATCACCTGGACTGCCGGATTTAGAAAAGAAAGCCGGGCGCAGTGGCTTACGCCTGTAATCTCAGCACTTTGGGAGGCCGAGGCGGGCGGATCCTAAGGTCAAGAGATGCAGACCATCCTAGCCAACATGGTGAAATCCCGTCTCTACTAAAAATACAAAAAAATTGGCTGGGCGTGGTGGTGCGCGCCTGTAGTCCCAGCTACTCGGGAGGCGGAGGCTGGAGAATCGCTTGACCCTGGGAGGCAGAGATTGCCCTGAGCCGAGATCGTGCTACTGCACTCCAGCTTTGGCGACAGAGAGAGACTCCGTCGCAGAAAGAAAAAGAAAATAGTTTAGGGAGAAACTAACACCTTTAGTCCTTACTACATTTATCACAGAGGTTAGGTAAAGCCAATTGAGTGGTTTAAGATCAAGCCCAATATACTTCACCGGGGGAAGTGGGGCGGGGTATGGTTACCTACCCAAATTCGCTAAGATCCCCCTGAACCGTGAGCTTGTGAGATCCCTGCTAGATTTGTTTCATTACCCAAACCACCATCATAATAGCAACCTTTCCTGTGAAATTTATATGCCCTGGGAACGGGAGGATTATTGGGCTTCTTGAGGGATAAGTAGACATGCCAATAGATAAAGTGTGAAGAAACCTGTAAATGGAGGGTTGAGGAAGTCTGGGCAGGACGTTTACTCAGATGCCAAAATTGACACTCCTTTCCTATCAAAGTGGGAAGGAGTACATATTTCTTTCACTTGTAAGAATCCAAAAGGGAATGCAAAGAACATTGCTTCACTTGCATATTTCTCTCCACAAATGTAAGGAACTCCTTTGTAGATAAATGCTTTTTTTTTTTTTTTTTTTTAATCAGAATGTGTAGTTAGTTGTGGAAATAGCCTACCAGTATGTGTCCACTTCATGGGTACAGGGCTAGGCCTGTCGTACAGTTCTCAGCTTCTGTTGCATGTTAGGGAATGGATAGTAGTAGGGATACTCTTGGCAGGTTTGAGGACTGTAAAGGAAAATTCCTGCCATTTTTGGTGGGGAGACAGTCTTGCTCTTTTGCCCAGGCTGAAGTACAGTAGTGCCATCTCGGCTCACTACAACTTCCACCTCCCGGATTCAAGCAATTCTCCTACCTCAGCCTCCTGAGCAGCTGAGATTTCAGGCACCTGGAATTACCTAGTTAATTTTGGTATTTTTAGTAGGGATGGGGTTTCACCATGTTAGCCAGGCTGGTCTTGAACTCCTGACCTCAGGTGATCCACCTGCCTTGGCCTCCCAAAGTGCTGGAATTAAAGGCCTGAGCCACCACACCTGGCCTGAAGTAAATCTTTTCATTTCTAAGTTTATGGAATTTGATGGTTGGCTTCTGAAATAGGACATTTAATAAAATTTGAGGCTGGGTGCAGTGGCTCATCCCTGTAATTCCAGCACCTTGGGATACTGAGGTGGGTGGATCCCCTGAGGTCAGGGGTTTGAGACCAGCCTGGCCAACATGGGTGAAACCCTGTCATTTAATAAATAAATTTGAAAGACTACTGTCTTCTGAATCAGCCTGCCAATTTGACCCTTGGTCACATTTATTTTTATTTTTTTCCAAGACAGAGTCTCCGTTGCCCAGGCTGGAGTGCAGTTTTTTTTGTTTGTTTTTTAGAGACAGGATCTCACTGTGTTGCCTAGGCTGGTCTGAAACTCCTGGGCTTAGTGATCATCCAGCCTCAGCCTCCCAAAGTGCTGGAATTAAAGGCGTGAGCCACTGTGAAGTCAACCTTTGATTTCTTTCTTGCAATTTCCTGGGGGCTACTATAACAAGTTCATATAAACTAATCAGAAAATTACTCTTGGCGCTGGGGGCATTTAAGAATCCTACCTTGTCTCTCCCTCTCTTCTGGTGGTTGTCAGGAATTCTTAGTGTTCCCTGGCTTGTAGCTGCATTACTCCAATCTGTTGTCATCTCGTGATCGTCTTTGTGTGTTTATCTTAAAAGATGACTTGTCATTGGATTTAGAGCCCACCCTAATCAAGTGTAACATTTTACCTAATTATTTCCCTAACGACCTCATATCCAAATAGGGCCACATTCTGAGTTTCTAGTTGGACATAAATGAGAGGAGGACCTCACTATTCAGTCCATCTTTCACTATCCAAATCACTTTGGTTCATGAGTTTAGATGGCATGAGTGCTAGTGCTGGCGTTGATATTACGCTACCAAAGTAAGCATTAGTTTGTTTGTTTTTTAAGATGAGTTTTGCTCTTATTGCCCAGGCTTGAGTGCAATGGCTCGGTCTCGTTTCACTGCATCCTCCGCTGCCTGGGCTCAAGTGATTCTCCTGTCTCAGCCTCCCAGTTGGCTGGGATTACAAGCATGTGCCACCACACCTGGCTGATTTTTTGTATTTAGTACAGACAGGGTTTCACCATGTTGGTCAGGCTGGTCTCGAACTCCAGAGTCCTGACCTCGGGTGATCCACCTGCCTCGGCCTCCCAAAGTGCTGGGATTACAGGTGTGCACCATCATGCCTGGCACATTAGTTTCTTTTTAATAACGTGTGCAGTCAGTTCTGGGCACTGATAAAATTAAGTTGGTGATCTTGGGATACTTTGTTGGTAGGGATACAGTGACTTGCCTAAATTGTGACCCTTAAGAGATTCCGAGAAACTGACAGCCCAGTACTTTAATCAAAGCCTGTAACTCATGAGACCCTGGTTGTTTGCTGCATCAGCCCGGGGGGGGCAGGCTCCTTGTTCTCCAAAATGCAAAAATCAGAAGGCACATAGTGCCAACTACATATGCTGGGCTATGAGAAAAGATACCACCTGCTTTCAAAGGTTGATTGTCTATACTATAAAGTCTGTATTCATAAATCAGATTCAACCCTAATTCCAAAACCTCTGACTTCATTCAGGGTGTGGGCCGAAGATACGCTCATGTGGTGTTGAGGAAAGCAGACATTGACCTCACCAAGAGGGCAGGAGAACTCACTGAGGATGAGGTGAGGATAAGGAAGGGGTTTGGGGGTAGAGTCTGCCTCGGAAAGGAGGCCGTCTAGATCTGACCTTGTCCTGCCTGCCAGGTGGAACGTGTGATCACCATTATGCAGAATCCACGCCAATATAAGATCCCAGACTGGTTCTTGAACAGACAGAAGGATGTAAAGGATGGAAAATATAGCCAGGTGTGTACCATAATGAGGGCAGGATTCGAGGAATGGTGGAGAATCCTAATAGAATTGGGCATAGGAGGTCAGGCGATAAACATCCCTTGCCCCCTCTGAATCCAGGTCCTAGCCAATGGTCTGGACAACAAGCTCCGTGAAGACCTGGAGCGACTGAAGAAGATTCGGGCCCATAGAGGGCTTCGCCACTTCTGGGGGTGAGTGGGGATCTCCCCTCCCTGCCTGCCTCAACTTACAGCATTCCTCCTGCTCACTCTTTCCTTTTCCCAACCTTTTTTGTGCTGTGTATGACCTATGACCTTTCTCTTTTTACCTGCAGCCTTCGTGTCCGAGGCCAGCACACCAAGACCACTGGCCGCCGTGGCCGCACCGTGGGTGTATCCAAGAAGAAATAAGTCTGTAGGCCTTGTCTGTTAATAAATGGTTTATATACCGATGGCTTCCTTCTTTGTGGTTCTGTCCATTCTAATAGGGAATGTTAAGGTGCTGAGTCCTTTAGACATTTCTCCCTTTCCACTTAGAGCTGTCCCGACTCAGTCACCCACACAGTACCATTGGTTTTGGCAGTGGTGATGCTGCAGACCCCCCCAGTCTCCCTACATGTAGCGATGTCCTTACCTGTAAAGAGAAGAGTAAGGGGAAAACAGTTTCCAGCCTTGTTGAGGAGACCGAGATCAGTAGAGACAAATCTGGGGTTGGTGTTGCAGCATGGTTGTGGGATGGGTAGCTGAGGCTAGCCAAAAGGGTCATCAAGTCCTTTGGGCTCTGATCTAAAGCAACAAACGCAAAGATACCGAATTGGTTATGAAAGGCCTGGGCTCCCTGGTAGAGTGCATGGGTGGGTCAGGATGGGGAGCAGCTGGCAGACCGGTCTCGCTCCGTTCGGTGCCACTCCACCTGCCCGGGTTTCCGCGTCTTGCCGCGCTGCTCCGACGCGGCTTCCGGCGGGGATGCGCGCAGCGCGGAAGCTTGCGGCAGGC